CTGGGGAAGCCTCCGGACTCTGGGGAAGCCTCCAGACTCTGGGGAAGGTGAAAAACGGCCTTCCCAGAAAAACCGGAAGTGGCAAAACAGGCCTATGTCTGGATTCCGGTGGGTTTCCAGAGCCCGGGGAAGGCTGTTTTCACCATCCCAAGGGTCCAGAGGCCTCCCCTGGGCCTCTGGAGGCCCACTGGAAGCCAGAAATAGGCCTGTTTTGCCACTTCTGGTTTTTCTGGGAAGGCCGTTTTTCGCCCTCCCGAGGGTCCGGAGGCTTCCTTCGGGCCTCTGGGAGGGCAAAAACAGCCTCCCCTGGGCTCTGGAGGCTTTCTGGAAGCCGGAAACAGGCCTGTTTCTAGACTTCCGGAAGGCCCGTTTTCCCCCCTCCCTGAAGCCTCCGCGCAGACCCTTACCTGCATCGGAAATGGGCCATGTGGAGACTCCTGGGAGGGGATGGGTGGGGTGGGCAGGGCCAGCTGGTCAGTTCAACTAGCGGTTCGGCGGACCAGATGTAAATTTAGCATCCAGTTCACCTGAACCAGGCCGAACCGGGAGAATCTCACCCCTGGTTAGGTTACACTCTGTGTATGCTCTAATCCAGGGGTCTCCAACCTCTGGGCTGGGTGGAGATTCCTGGCAGTTTGAGGGGAGGTTGGGGCTGGGCCAGCCAGTCAGTTGAAATACCGGTTCGGTGAACCAGTTGTAACTTTAACAACCGGTTCATTCGAACCGGTCTGAACCGGTCAAATCCCACCCCTGCCAGCTTCCCCGTCTGACTGTCCTGTGTGCCCCTTTTCTGTCCCTCGCAGGGGAGGCCGGCCTCCAGGCCATGACCGCCCAGGTGACGTCCCCCTCGGGAAAGATGGCCGAAGCGGAAATCATCGAGGGAGAAGACAGCGCCTACTCCGTGCGCTTCGTGCCCCAGGAGATGGGCCCCCACACCGTCAACGTCAAATATCGGGGGCAGCACGTGCCCGGCAGCCCCTTCCAGTTCACTGTGGGGCCGTTGGGCGAAGGGGGGTCCCACAAAGTGCGGGCAGGAGGGCCCGGCCTGGAGAGGGGCGTGGCCAGCGTGCCAGGTAAGGCTGACATCGTCCTCTGTGCCCCGGCATGGCCAGGTGTGGCTTTGAACCCCCTTCATTTCCTCCCCACTGCCTTGAATTGAAGAACTCGCCTGGCGGCTCAGACGCCGCCAGGAGGGCTGGTCTCAGCATTCTTGAGGACTACAACATGGTTTTGGTTGGTTTGAATTAAGGGGCACGATTCAGGAGGCCAGGCTTGCGATCCCTTGGATCTCAGGAATGCTTGGAAGCTCATGGCCAACCTGGTCTATCCCATTTGCCTTCAGAAATGGTGTAGGTAGGGTTTCCTTGTTTGGGCGGGGGGGTGGGGGTTGGACTAGATGACCTACAAGATCCCTTCCAACTCTGTTAACATCTATAAAGATCTCTGTTCTGGGATGCCCACCACAGGGGGCTCCGGAGGGAGTTTGAAAACACCCAAATGCAGAATGGAGGCCTTGCCCCCCCCCCACTTTTCAGCACCTGTTGCAGGTAACAAAAGAGGCCGGCTTCTACTGCGTAGCTGCATGTGCCATCTTGACTTTTCTGACCCTCCATGGGTCGCCTCTGACGCAGGCCTCAGTGGCAGGAACAGAGATGCCCCGGCTGAACAGGGGGGATTGGTTTCACCCCGTTTCTTCTGCCCTTTCTTCTGCCCTCAAATGGGCTGGCAGGCAGTCAGATTAAAAAGGTTCATTATTAGAGTGAATTAATTAACAGCCTTCTTTTCTGGTTGGGGAATTGTCACCCGGCAACCTTCCTTCCTTCCTCCCTCCCTCCCCTTTTTTTCCTCCCTCCCTTTCTCCTTCCTCCCTCCTCCCTCCCTTTCTCCTCCTTCCCTCTTTCTCCTTCCTTCCTTCAATCCTCCCTCCCTCTTTCTCCTTCCTTCCTTCCTTCCATCCTCACTCCCTCTTTCTCCTTCCTTCCATCCTCCCTCCCTCTTTCTCCTTCCTTCCTTCAATCCTCCCTCCCTCTTTCTCCTTCCTTCCATCCTCCCTCCCTCTTTCTCCTTCCTTCCATCCTC